AAAACTGAAAGCATTCCCACTTAGAAATGGAACAATTTTACCATGTATCTTTTCAGATACATGGTATCTGAAATTGAACTATTTCGTTTCAATTATACCATGTATCTTTTCAGACCACAATGGAATAAATGTCCTGGACCAGATGGTTGCCCACTATCTCCACTTCTATTCAACATAGTGCTGGAAGTCCTCGCTATAGCAATCAGACAAGAGAGCAGAATTAAGGGCGTCCAAATGGGAGCAGAATAGATTAAACTCTCACTCTTTTCTGAGGACATGATATTATACCTAGAAAACCCCAAGGGATTCAACCAAGAGCTCCTTGAATTGCTATAAATTTGGTAACGTTTCAGGATACAAAATCTATACCGAATCAGAGGATTCTATACGTTATCAACAGTAAAGTGAGAACCAACATCAAAGACTCAATCCCTTCAAATAGCACAAAGAATAAGAACCTAGGATATCATCTAAACTAAGGAGGTAAAGACTCTACAGGGAGATATGAAAACTGAGAGGAAATGCAGGGCTTTAAACAGTATGGAGGGATATACATGCTTGGGTTGGCGAATCAACATGTTTAATTCTATACTACCAGTGACGTACAGGACGTCATGCATCCCTATCAATACCATCACATTTTTCACGATACGAAAAAATAATTTCCTTCGTATGGACCAGAGAAACCCCCACTATAGCAATAATCTAGGCATAATAAAATAGGGAGGTATCATTTACAGACTATATTACTTACAAGGCTATGTCATTAACGTTGGTGATCTGCAAAGAACAGGGACATTGCCGTGGAAAGAACAGAAACCAGATTAAAACCTCCTCATATAGCACTATTTCAACAAGCAGACAAAACATCACTGGGGAAAGAATCTTATTCTAAATTGGTGCTGGGAAACTGGCTGCAATGTAGAAGATGAACAAATCCACACTTTCACCTTCACAAATCAATTCACACTGGGTAACAGACTTGACTTATGGTGACTATTTAGTTCTCGGGGGAAAATGTTAAAACCTTCTGCATTGGCTAGGCACAGAATTTATTAAGACCCCAAGGCGAATCACACAGCAAACAAATAACAAAGATGAGACCTGATAATTAAAAAGCTTTCTGCATCCAAAAGAAACTGTTTCAAGGAGATCAGCAGGAAACCACGCAGGGAGAAAATTTTTGTAGCTACATTCTGTAAGGGCTGATAATAGTCTATTTGAACTCAGCGAACATCAGCAAGAAAAAATAACTACCCTACAAAAAAATGGGCAAGACATGACAGGAACTTCTCAAAGAAGACAGAATAATGGCCACCAACATATGGAATGTTCACTTAATCTCAGGGAAATGCAATCAAAACAATGATTCATAACTCCAGTGGAATGGCCTTTTTCAAAGTCCCCAACAAATGTGGTGTGATGCGACGAGAGGAACCTCTCATGCTGGTGGACTGCAACACTAGTTCACCTCTGGGAAGCATATGGAGTACCTCAAAGCAATCAAGTGATCTACTTGATGATCCGCTTCCATACTGGGTCACCAAAAGTCAAAGGTTACTTTATGAAAAGACACCTGACTCGATATGTTTGATGCAGCAATCACAATTGCAAAGCTGTGGAAACAACCCATGCCATCACTTCTGGATGGTTATAAAATGTGGTATATGTATACCATGGAGTACTATTTGGCTTTAAGAAACAATGGTGATCTAGCACCTCTTGTATATTCCTGGATAGAGCTGGAACCCATTCTACTGAGTGAAGTATCTCAAGAATGGAAAAACCAGCACCACATGTTCTCACCAGCAAACTGGTATTAACAGATCAACACCTAAGTGGACATTTAGGAATAATATTTATTGGGTATTGGGCAGGTAGGAAGGGGGAGGAAAGGATGGATATATACAACCACAACGAGTAAGATGTGCAACATTTGGGGGATGGACACGCTTGAAGCTCTGACTCAAGAGGAGAGGGGGGCAAGGGCAATATATGTAACCTTAACACTTGTACCCCCATAATATGCTAAGAAAAAAAAAAAAGAAAGAAAGAAACTTCTTTTCTTTATAAATTACCGAGACTGTGGTATTCTGTTGTAACTATAGAAAACAGACAAAGACACGATGGCAGAAGTTGCCCACTTTACCACTTGGTTGTCCTGCCTCTGAATTATGGAACCGAGCAAATCTCCAACCAGTGTTGCTACAGCAAGTAAAATTAAGACTCTTTAAAAGGACAATTTTAAAAAGATTTCCTTCTGCCTGGGCCAATAACTGGATTACAACTCAAAAATGACAGAGAAGAAAACACCATAATGAGATACCTCACAAAATAGTATCATAATGACAATTTTGATGATTTCCTGAGTCGAATCTCATTTCTCCAAAAACAGCTGAGAGGGGGTGAAATTGTAGACATCAGAAGGTTCGCAGGAGTTCCCTTCTGTCAGCCTGCCAAGGAGAGTTCTGCAGTCTCCAGCCCAACCCCCTGCTCCCAGAAGCAGGTGCCCACTGAAGGGGGTCCTGTGGCTTGGTGACTGGGACACAGAGAGATGGAAAGGGGAGAACATTCCACCTCCATGAATTCAGCCATTCTACGTAATAAAAAGAAAAGGGAGTGAGGATGGGGGCAAGTTTTGGCAAAGGAGAATCTCCAGAAAGTGCAGTGGCAAGAGGCAGAAAAGAGAAGTGTTGCCAGGAATTATGGATTTGATCTTCTTCGATGCCTGTCAAGAGTCACAAAAAATGAAATTTCTTTTCAATCCTTGTGAACTGAACCACTTGGGTGGCAGCTTATATGAGGCTGTACGTACAACACAATGCACTTCTGCTACACGGGGAAGTATATTAACTAGGTCTCACGCACCCCCACCCAGTCCTCAGCATCAAAGCATGCTGAGGCCCCAACCCACACAGGCAGAGGTCATGCTCAGGAGCTAAGACAGCCCTGAGGAATCACACCAGAACCCCCTGAAATCAACACTGTGAACATCTGAAACTAAGATCTGGTCTGCCATCACACACACTACATATGGCAGAGGAGACCGCTGGCTAGAACTACGAAAATAAAAGGGGGGCACCATTTCTTGTGGTAAAATTCTATTTAGTTTTTTTTTTCCATTCTCTACAATATACTCCAAAGCTGAAGTAATTCAAACATTAAAACAGGAAACCAAAAAGAAAAGAAAAAAAAAAACCACCACCAAAACCCTGAAAACAAAACTAAAAGACACAGAAGAGGCGGAAACCGAGTGATTGTGCAGACAGCAGCTACCCCGGGAGCCTCCAGTTCCTAAGGCGTCACAGGGTCTCTCTCATGGATACTCAGCAGTGTCTGATTTGCCTCCCAAACCTCCAGTGCTGTTCCAGGTCCCCAAGAGCTAATTCTTTACTGTCTCTACTTCCCCACAGGTGGGCTGCACAGTCTTCAACCTCGTCTACTTCCTCTCCCAGTCTTATTCACGTACAGCACCAGTACCACGGCGCCATCTCTCTGCACACAGACACTGTCTGCAGCCTCTAGCTTGCTTTCCTTCCCTGAAGCAGAGGTGGTGTATGTCAAGGGCTACAGAGGGAACTAGAGGCGGCTATCAAGACTGAGCTAGGAGGATGTAAAAGGCAATTTAATTTGGATGTCTGAGGTAGCAGAGAAAGCGATGACATATACATATACAGTGAAATCACCTTACTGAAAACGTTTAAGGTAAAAGCACTACGCTTAATAAACACAACACCTATTCAACCTGCTTCAATGCCGTATTACGGTTATGCAGCAGGAGAGGGAAGAGAGTTTGATGGAATAGGAGGTGACAGCTAGACACTCTCTCCATGGCAAGAGAGGTGGGAAGACGGGCGAGGTGAGCATGCAGAGGACACGGCACATCTGAGGTATCGTGGAACCCTGCTCCCTTTGAAAAGGGGAATGTGGCTTTCCGGTGATTCTAACCAAGGGCAGGAAGTGCCACACAGAGGAGTCAACTAAAGCCAAATGGTAGTGGAGAGGACAGGGACAGGCTGGGAAGCATTCCTCACCCCACCCCTCACCTCATCCTCACACTTCCTCCCACCTGGCCTGGGCGCTGGGCAGGAAGGCGGGGAAGTGAAAAGATGCACTCCTCCCCTCGGGGAAGCCCTGGTCTGGAGGCAGGACGCCCTCCTGAGAGGAAGGGCAAACACAGCCTGCACCTGCACTCCCCAGGGTGAACACGTGCTGGTGCCCAGGTGGCAGACTGACCTCCACTCCCCAGCAGGCCACCTGTCTCAGAGGTTTTAGTTTCTCATTAAGCCTCAGTGTAGTTCCAGAGAACTACAAGTTCTCTAAGTCAGGAGCTTCCAGTGTGGGAATTGACTGCTCAATTCTGAGGAACTCAGAGGCTTGAGAATAAAGCAAAACAGTGCACATTAGTCTAATAAATTAAGCACTACACAGATAGAATGAAAAACACACAGAGCAATCCTGGTAGGCCTTCAAGGTTTCTAAGTAATTTGGAGCACACGGAGTCTCAAAAGATGTTTAGACGTCAGCACAGCAGTGAGAAAGAGTGGGTTTAAACTGTCTTGGTTCTTGCAAAATCATAAGTTCAGTGTTTTTATACCAGTTATAAGGCAAATATTCAGGGGAAAACACCCTCTTAATAAACCCGTGAAATGGTGAAGTCAAAAGACTTTCTAAACTGTTGTATTTGAGTCATTAATTCTGTTCAATTAAGAAACGACAGTTTTCCATTCAGTAAAGTACAATAAACAACAACTACGAGATCAGTATCACTGAGGAAGAGAACCACCAAGTGGAAGGTTTTATCTTGAAAGTCATAAGCAGTTGACATTTAGTTGCAGCCTGTCATGCAAGCTCCTTACACTGTCAGCACAATCCCTACAGGACGGGGCACATTTCGCACGAAGCTCCCGTTAAACTGAAAAGTATCAATAAATACAACAGGAAACTGCTCCTTGCTGAACACTGAGGGTATTGTGTGTGTGCTTTTATTGACATCATAGCTCAGAGGTTTTTGTTTTCATTTGACAGGGCACATCTTATAAGAGTATTAACTGCAACCCATCTTTTTACAGGTAAGTTTAATTTTCTAATTGTGTGTAGTGTGTTTATAAAACCCACCTAACTGCAAAAACACAAAAGCTGTCGGCAGGATAAGCTGCTATAGAAGAACAAGTTGTAATTTCTTCTCTGTAAAATCACAGTCCTCCCTGGTCTGGGACAGACAACAGGTTTGGGAAAACCAGCAAAGGACTCCTGTCTTTATTCTGCCATGTTGTATTTGCAGGGCCCTGGACAAATCACTGCATCCTTGATAACCCCAAAAAGTCACCCTAATGGCCAACATGTGGTGGTAACACAGGGTTGGAACAAAATTAAACAAAAAAGTATTATCTAAATGTAAACCATTCAGCTGAGCATCTGCTACAATCTCCCCACCATCTGTCATCCAGTCAGTGCTTACAGACCTCTCAGCTGGGAACTCACTCCATCTAGTTGTGGTCCACTTCCTTTTTGGAATGTTTCCCTCTTTATTGATCAACAGCTATCATTACTCTGTGAACACAGATTAAGCTCCTCCTGTGGGCCAGGCACTGTGCCAAGATGAACTCAACAGACTGGCCTCCCCTGACATGGACTCGCCATGGTCCCTCCCAGTGGGAGTGGAGCGTGTGAAGGCAACGTGCCAGGGAACAAGGCAGCAGCTCCACAGGTGACAGAACACGGGAATCTGCCCTAGACCAGGTCTGGGAAGGCTCCCCTGGGTGTGAGGCTGAGCTGAGATCCAAGCATGGTCAAAGCAAGGGAAGTGACAGGAGGCTGGGGAGGCCTGAAGATCTGGTTCAAGACGCTGATGTTTAAAGAGCAAGGGAAGGCCCTGAAGGGTTTTTAAGCAAGGGGCTGACACGATCAGATCTGTAGCCACACTTGAATCAACCACTTGGGGTCATGGAGGACAGCCTGATTCCTTTTGCATATGGCAACCTTTTAAATCTTTCATGAAATCACAGAGTGCTTTGAGCTGCAAGAGCTGGAATTCTACTTGTTCTCCGAGGCTTCCCGTGTTCCCTGAGCACTTCATTCCCACCACAGCCAGTTCAGAGAGTCCACGACTGTTTCCCCCACTAGCCTGTGACCACCTGTAAGGCGAGTGCCGAGTCTTAATTCACTGTGGATCTGGTCCTCTGAGGAGCTGTCATGAGCACACTTTATTTTTGAAGTGAAGAACTGAAGCCCAGAGAAAACAAGTCTAACCTTGAACCCCACGTTCTGCCTTACAAAGTGGCCTTTGAAACTGACTGCTGTATGTGCTAGCTTCCCCTGAGTAATTCTCTTCCAGGAATGAAAACAATCAAAACCACAAACTCTGAAGGTCTATCATTTCCACTCTGCATCTTTTCCTCTTCTAGGTTAGACATCTCCCACTTTCTCAACCAGTCCCCACAGGGTATGCTTTGTGGGTCTCTTCATGGTGCAGGTCACTCTTCTCTGAACTCATTCCACAGAGAATGAGTTCCTGGGGGTATGCTCCCTCCAGGGCAGAATTCAACAAGGTGCCTTCTTCTTTCAAGATCAGGGGTCAGCAAGTTTTCTGCAAAGGGTCAGAGTGTACATATTTCAAGCTTTATCAGTCATAGGGTCCCTGTCCCAACTACTCAACTCTGCCTTTATAGGGAACGCAGCCACAGACGGAACATGACACAACCTTGTTCTAATAAACAAAACTTTACTCATGAAAAAAAAAGAAAAAAAAAAAAAACTTTACTCATGGACACTGAAATTTGAATTTCATCTCATTTTCACACATCAGGAAACAGTCATCTTCTTTTGATTCTTTTTCCCCAACCATTTAAAAATTAAAAGCCACCCAAGAGTGGTCACAGGCCACAGAAAACAAACAGTAGGCCAGATTTGGCCCATGGACCATAGCTTGCTGAACCCCGTTTTAGACCATACTAATACAGCCTGTGATTATACTCAGATTATGTAACTGCAAACAAACAAAAAACCAAAAAGCCACAGCCTTACATTCAGCCTGCTGTTGATTTAAAGTCCTTTGGACTTATGCTGGGGTATGTCCCCATCTTCACTGTCTTCAAGTTTCCAGGTGAATGGGGTCTTCCTGGAGGCAGGGCCCTGGCCCCACACCCCCTCCTTCACTCCTTCCTGAAAGTCAGAGACTGATCTGACCGGCAGGTTTAGAAGAATCTCCAGGGCATGCTCGGCTCAGCCTCTCCTCTTCTCTCCCTCCAGACCTGCCTGCAGAGAAGGAATCTCTGGGCCTGCTCTCTCTGCGGGAGGGAGGCCTGGGGTTTTAGGGGTGAGTTCAGCTCGGGCACTGCTAGCAAGCCCATCTTGGCCACACAACTAAGACATGTGGATTTTATCAGTCACTGAGCTGGCTCTAGAAGTTTTTTAAGTCTTGGATTCCCATGTCTACGTTTCAGTTCAGAACGTGGGAATCAAGCGGTTATCCAGATCACGTGTGCACGTTCTGTGCCTGTTAGGCCCAGTCAGGCCTGACGTTTCCCCCTGTGGGGTCGCATGCGAATGGGTTTGGCTCACTGCATCAACCTGCCAGGGCTTTGCGGCACATGCTCTCACTCCACTCCCAGGCTTGTAACGTTAGACGTCTAGATCTTAATACTAATCGTTTATGAACACGCTGACTAAGGGTACCCTCTGAGACAAGCCACTCTTCACTTTCAACCCGCAGGTAATTTTTCCATTAATCAGAACCGTCTGGGCACTGTTGCTAGTAGTCACTAATGCTTCCATTGGCCTCCTTCCCCAATTCTGTTTTCCACCCTGTAGCCAGTGTGGGTTTGTTTTTTTAAATATTCAATGGATGTGTCACCTCTGACTTAAACATTTTCCCATGGCTTTTCTTATTTGTAGGGAAGTCCCGAATACTGGAAGTCACTGGTGTGAGCTGGAAAGGCCCCTACCGAGGTGTGAGAAAAGTAGAAAGTGGCCATCAGCCATGGTACCAGCCTAGCCAGAAGCTCTCGGAGCTGGTTCTTCTGGAACCAAGAACACTGGCACCAGGCAGTGCTCCAAGCCAAGCCTGAGCCGTAATCTCCCACCCACCCCCTGGGACCAACTGGGACGCCCAGATTGCCCCCCCCCCGCCCCGCCCCAGGTTCAGTGTGATCTTGCTGATGGGACCCCACCGTAGAAGCCACCTTGGCCACCTCCCTAAGTCTTTTACCTTTCCTCTTGCAGACCCAGCTACCTTTACCTAGGCCTGTAGGCTGCTGTCCCCAAAAGAAACCAAAAGCAAACTCATCAAACTTTATAGAGCATGGCTACTCAAAGTCTTTGGAGCAGCAACATCAATACCACCTGGGGATTTCTTAGAACCGCAGATTCTCAAACCCCATGGAAGCAGACTCTGTGTTGTCACGATCCTCAGATGACTCGCAGGCACACTGACAGCTGAGAAGCGCTGTTATGGAGCCCTGGCTCCACCTGTGGATTTTGATGTGTTGGACTAGGGCCTAGGTAGCTGTCTTTAAGTCCCTAGGTGATTCCAACATTGCCAGTGTTGAGAAACACTGCTATGAAGTAAGGGCCCCCTCTATCCTTGGCCGTTTTTCTCAAATATATCACCAGATGCCAATGAATTTCCAAAGTTACCATTAGGAGAAATCAGGCCAGATAAACAAAAATCGCATCAGTCAAATAATCAAACTACAAGTAAGTGTAGCTTCTGTTTTGTGCCCCTTTCCCTTTGGCCAACATGAGGGGCCACTTTCACTAGTCAATTGATGTTTTTCTATGGCGGGAGCTATGCCTATCTAAAAAGGAACTTTTCTGAAATCAGTAATGAAGAAAGGAACCTGACCATTAACGTGGCCTCCAGGAAGGGTGGCCAACTCCTCCAGGTTTGCTTGGGACGCTCCCAGATTTAGCGCTGAAAGCTCCACATCCCGGCACGTCCCTCAGTCCCAGACAAACAGGGACGTCTCATCACCCACCCCAAGACCCCTCGAGGTCTGACCCTCACCCCTCCCTCTTCTGTCACCTCTACCTCTTGTACCAAGAGGACAAGCAGCCTTTAGTTCCTCCCTCCTGCCTCCCCGCCTTGCTTTGCTCATGCTCTTCCCTCTGTCTGGAACATTTTCCTTCCACCCGTGGCCTAGTTCATTCCACTCATTCCCCCAGCTCTCAACTCAAACGTCCCTTCTCTGACCATTCCCAACCCCCAGGCTTGAGCAAATCCTCTTTTTCCTCTTTCATAAGCACACGGTGTCCTCTTCACATCACTTGTCACAGTTTATACAATTGTGTTTGTGTTTGACTAGTGTCTGTCTCCCTACGTAGACAGTAAGCATCTTAAGGACTGGGGCCGTCTCTGTTTTCGCTCTGCGTTCCTGGTGCCTAGGCACACAGAAGACAGTTGATAAATATTTGCTGAATGAATGAAATGAATCCAAGTAGTCAGGATCCAGTCCATGCGTCCCCATGACAGAGACTGCCAGATTCCCCCAGCGTCCATTCTCTCACCTCCTCCCATCAAGATCGAACCTGGACTTTTGGCTAGGCACACAGCTACTTGGAATAAAGGCTGGTTCCACCCTCCCTGGGTGCTGGGTATAGCTGTGTGAGTGAAATCTGGCTAAGCAGCCCACTTTTCAGAAGGGCCCGTTAGTAGGGGTGTGTGTGTCCCTTGCCCTTCGTCCTCCCTACTAGCTGCAGTGTGAGTGTGATGAATGATGCTCCAGCAGCCATCCTGTGCCAAAAAGTGACAGTGGGCATGGCAGCCCTGCACAGAGGACAGATGAAGTGGAAAGAAACACGTTCACTTATTTGAGGTTGCTCTGTTACTCCACCATACCTAATCCAACTAACAGCCTCTATCTTGGTGGTCTCTTCTCACTTTTAACGTATATATACCAGGAATACTGAACCACCAGTGTATTTTCTCTTCCCTTAATTACACCCTGAAAATATAAAGCAGGAAGTGAGAATGTGAAGTGGTCGCCTAGCAGGATGGTTTCCAGGTAGTGAAAAGAGGAGGGAACTCAGGGAGGCAGGAACTCGGGTTTGGTCCCCGAGAGTTGAGCCATTCTGGACCTCAGCTTCCTCCCCTCTGAACACGCACAAGGAGGCCAGGCCACTAACTGCCATTTGCCTTTGCTTTCCAAAGGCCTCCTCACTTTAACACATTTCAGAGTTATGCTGGAGGGACAGTCATGTCAGGGCACAGGATTTGAAATAGTTGTGAAATAACAGACGTTCAACTAAACTCAAAATGTTACTCAAAGCTTGCACCACAGGAAAGATGCCTTAAGTATGCAGAGAACATACATAAGATCTTGGCAAATGTCAGCAAGTACCCCAACCCTCAGAAGTTCATGCTCGGGTCCACAGATCTGTTAAACCAGGTGAAAGCACAGTTCTGGTCAAGGGCCTCTTCCGTAGGGCTTCCACGGAAGTGGCCAGTTTCTGAAAGACAGCAAGAGAAAAACAAAACAAAAACAAAGGAATGTTGAGGAGACTTGGAAGGAGGGAGAGAGAGAACTGTCCCTTCGTTGTGAAGAATCAATTGATTACAGATCGGAGAAGACACTGGACTATTACAGGGAGAAGAGCGGGATGGTGCAAGGTAGAGCAACAAGCATGGGCTGTACAAGCCGTCCATCGTGACAAGCAGCTAACTACCCAAAATTGAGTTTAACAAATATTTTTTAAAACAAAGTGGAAGGATATATAATGTATAAAACTGATCTAATATGCTCTTAATCCAAGTGATTTTTCTCTTCATATCTCATAGGAAGAAATCGATATACTTATGACTTGCACTATCTCAGGAACAAGACTGAAGGGCCGAACATTTATATAAATTATTACATTTCCATTTTAAGCTGTGTAGCCAACTGATCCTCAGCTACAAACTGACCTCCAAGTTCATTTTGTAAATGCCAAGTAAAACGACAAACTACTGATTTCCTCCGTTAACCAGCACAGGCCAGTTCCACTCAGCTGCACGGGCACTGGCCTGCCATGTTCCCAGTCCCCCTTCCTATCAGCCTTTCTGCATTTCAACCTGCCCACGTGGTTGATGTGAAAGACACAGAGAACCCAGTTTTCCTTTAACTGTGAGGCCTTCTTGCCACAGGTCAAAAAACACACGGCCAATGTGCCAGGCATTATTCTAAGACCTAAGGACAAATTCTCTCATTACCAGGCAGGAGGGAATTTAGTTCACTTTTCTTAAACTTGGGAGACTAAATGCTAGGGAGAACTCTCTATACCTGCGGTCCCCAACCCCTGGTATCAGTCCACGGCCTGTCAGGGACCGGGCTACAGAGGTCCACACCCCTCTACCCATCCCATAGAAAAACTGTCTTCCATGAAACTGGTCCCTGGTGCCAAAAAGGTTGGGGACCGCTGCTCTATGCTCTTGCAAAAGGACATTTAAATGTTCTTCCATCAAATTAATTACAAATCAAATCAATGTGTATACCACCTCAATTTTGAAAACAGACTATCTTACTAAGTAACTAAGCATTTACTAGAGGACTCACATGGACAAGAGAGAAAGGAAAGATTTGCTGGTCAAATATACTACAGGGTGTCCCAAAAGCCTCTATACAAATTGTTCAAAGCACACCTTCTGATAAGCTTCCACCACTAAGTCCAATGCCTGTGTCCATTCCTGAGCCATTCAGGAACCGGTGTGTACCCACCCAAGATTGTCCCAAGCAAAGAGAGAGAGGAAGCTCTCCACTGTGATGGGCACGGGAGAGGGCAGTATGCTTCTCTTTTTCTTTTTTGATGGTCAACCCTTGGCATTTAATGAAATTCTACTTCTCTTTGAATTGCAGAAGGACTCTCTTGATAATCTGACTTCCAATTACATCATTGCTCCCTCTGCTAGAAGACTAACTCCTGTAAGCACCACATGCCAACCAACTGTGCCACTGGAGCTACAAGACTAACTGTAATATTCATTAAAAACCAGTAACAGAACAAGAGGAGAAAGAGCTAATGAAGTATTTTAAGTTACTATGTGTCTACTCATCCAACAATTCCACACTCAATGTCACAGTCACCTGGTTAAATCAACAAAAGATTTACTATTAAATTCTTAATTTAGAGATTTATCAAGCACAGAAGTTTACATGCTACAGTTTCTGGAATTTCTGTTTATTACCTAGGAATCCAAGCAACAGTACTAACAGTGGCCCTCTGTCTCCTAGAAATGAACATAAACATTTTATCATCCTGTTAATTTAAACATGATGGCACCCATCTATTCTGGCTCCAATCACATGGGAAAATTAAAAAATGGAATATTACTAGCAGTGGTCCCCAACCTTTTTGGCACCAGGGACCAGTTTCATGGGAGACAATTTTTCCACAGACAGATGGGAAGGAGCAGCTGTAAATACAGATAGATGAAGCCTTCGCTCAGCCTGAGGCTCACCTTCTGCTGTGCACCCCCCCTTCCTCCCTGCTTCCTAAATGTCATGGAAGATAATTTTTTCACAGATGGGGGAGGGGCCACAGGTGGCAGAGCTCTATGGCCCAGTCTGTGGCCAGGGAGTTGGGGACCACAGATTACTAGAACAAAGGTTATTAGAAAAATGAGAACATATACAAAAACTTTTTCCTGCTGATTTATGGTGAACATTTAAATGTTCTTCCATTAAATCAATTACAAATCAAATAAATGTATATACAACCTCAATTTTGAAAACAGATTGTCTTACCAAGTAACCGAACATTTACCAGAGGACTCACATGGACAGCAGATAAAGGAAAGATCTGCTGGTCAAATACAGTACAGGGTGTCCGAAAAGTCCCCATACAAAGGAAAAATTTTGTAATGAATATTTTGTAAATAAAGGCGCATTTAGCTACAATTTCCCATTTTCCCTATGTATGGCACACCCTGTAGTTCATTAATTCCTCTAAAAGTTGAGACTTAAAATAGACATGTAGAGGGAACCACATATATAGGAAGTTTTAACTCAGTAATGAAAACTTTTTCATAATCTCTCTTCTCCTGTACCCAGATCTGTGAGAGTTATCTCAAGCAACGATGGTATAAAAATGATAACCCAACTTTAATTCAGAACAGCTTAAATATGACAAATATTGGAAATTATGGAGAACTTTCAGGTAGAAGCTGGAACTCTGTTGCAGAGGACAGAAGCAAGCAGATGGTTAAGAATCTGTTAGACTTTGTTGAGTCCCATGTTAGGGTTTGAATCCTGGCCACCTGGCCACTCAATAGCTAGCTTTTTTTTTTAGCAAATTTTGTGACGATTCTGACCACCAAGAGTGGTGATTGTAAAGATAACAGTAAGGCTATCTATGGTCAGTGTCTCCGTGTCTACCAACATAAAGAGAACTCAAACGCCCACTGTTATTGTGACAGGGACAGGCACTGGGTGCTACAGGGACATAGGAGGGCACCCACCCCACTCTGGGGAACCAGCAGCTTCTCCCAGATGAAGCTAAGTCTACCTGGGACCTGAGCCAGGTAAAAGGTCATTTTCAAGTTAATAATTGTACCAGTCAAGATTTCTATTTAGATAAAACATATGGCACCAAAAATTACATTTTATTTGGTATTTAATTATTTCATTTTTACAGAAATGTAAAAGAATAAAAATGGGGTAAACAGGCAGCAAAAAATGCATCAACTATGGAGTATTCAGTTTTAAGCATTCTGTTGCATGCATGTGTTTTTCGCTGCAGTGTATTTTTCCCCTAAGCCCTCAAACTACTTTTTAAAGAAGGAAAATATTTCTCTTTAAGGTTACAACTAGCACACAGAAGAACCACAGCTGCTCATTCCTCTTCTCCTTGGCATGCACTACCCGCCACAGCACCCCCTCTACTCCTTGTTCCGCTCCTTGAGAGCAAAGATAGGCCCTGAAGGCACTTTGTCTAGAATAAGCTCACAATTCTTAGCTCACCATTGGCAGTCCATGTTGAGGAAGGAATGTGTTCACCCTACACTCCTCATGGCTTTTCTTGCCACTGGCCAGTCACTGGGTCATTCATGGTTCCCATTTGCCTACTCTCCTTCTGAACACAGAAATGCTCACCAGGTAAACCCACCTGCCTGCCTAGTGACTACCTGTGGTTGCCCATGGGAACAGGCTAAAGACTGCTTTCGGGGGGTGAGAAACATCTGTTTCATACATAAAGTCACACCTACTTGAATAGCTTTGGATTAACAGGATCCAGAATATTGAGGAACACACCTTTGAATTAGCAGAGAAGTCTATGTGGGACATGGGTGACTTTGTACAAGTTTGTGTGTGGCATAGTTTCTTAAAATGTGTATAAAAATAACAGCTACCTCATAGCATAAGGTGATGATAATAATAATGCCAGCAGCAGCCAACATTTGAGTGCTTACTATGAACCATGAACAACTGGTTGTAAGCACTTTATATGTAATAAATGAGCTAAGACACAAGAAGCACTAAAATAGCCATTACTGTTATTGTTAAAGTTTTTGATTTAGCATTAGACCCTTTTTTCCCCAAACAAAATCTTACCTAGAATAGCAGTGTAAAACAAAAAAAGCAGAGCTGCTCTAAGTATAGCTGGAGTCGGGGAACCAGGCCCATAGGTTCCTCAGTCGACACGGGGCATTCCTGTCCTCCCAACGCCAGCCCCTAAGGACCACCAAGGAGTCCCGTGGCTCCTGAGAACATGGTTGAAAACTTGAACGTCACCACTAAACAAATGGAGATGGGCAGTGGTGGAGAGAACCACAGCAGAGCTGAACCAACTGGGACAGTTAATGGCCTGAGGCTGGCCAGAGGCAGGAGCCAGGACAACTGAGGAGGGGTGCACACATTCCCTCCTCAAACACGGAAGCCTAACGTGTATTGCAAATTATGAGCTTACTACACCGTAAGACCAGGTCTCTCCTGCCCGATAGGTGATGGTGTCTTCTCTGGGCTTCAGGCACTGCAACAAATGATTTCCAATGCTTCTTCCCCCACCTAATATTCTGATTCAGACAGTATCTTTCCGGTAATATTGTGCACGGGTGCTTATCCCATGATACTCCAAATCCAAACACTTTTAACAAGAAAGAGTAAAAATATGGCTACCAAAAAAAAAACAACAACAAAAATCCACCACCGCTACTACTTCTGCGAGTTTTCTTCTATTGTCCATTTGCTTTTTTTTTTTTTTATTGAAAAATACTTCACGTGGGGATGTCCATTTGCTTTTATTGTCAAATGTTACCTGGTACTACTTGCTATTATCTCAAAAACTAATCTCAGTCTCTTTCTTGCCAAAATAGAGGTAGTAGATAAGAAAGCTGTTCCCAGTTTAGCTTTGGCAATTGATTTTTAAAATGGTTTTGTTTTTTGGCCAAACATAACTGGCAAAGAAGAGGCAGCATTATGCTAAGTCTTTAGAGGTTATGTTTTGGAGAAGAAAAGTTTTCCATAACCTGATCCTTGAATCACAGTCTTCCTCTGCTGCACACCAACTGCAGATCCCACCGCTGGAAAGAATTCACCTCCCTAGGCTCACAGCGCTGGCACGCCTTGAACTTGGTGCAGAGAAAGGAAAAATTACCGGTGATTAAGCCGGGAGTAGGCACCTTTCGGCCTCCCAAACCAGCTTTTTCCAGCTGTGCTCCTACCTCTATTTCCAACTTTCCTGTCTCTGCCAAACTAAGGCGAGGAGGAGAAAATAACACAATAAAAAGTTCAAACGAATACACCCACAGGAAATATTCAGCTAATTCTATAATAACCCAAGGTGCAGAAAGGTTGAAAAATGAGTGTGGGAGGTAACTCAATCACAGAATTCTAGACTGGGAGGGGCCTTACAGATCGGCCAGCCCTACGCCCTCATTTATGGATGAGGACAGAGCAGCTGTGACTTCCACCCAGACACTCCTGGGCAGAATGATGTCTACACCTCGTGTCCTTACTCCCAGGACTGTGCTGGCTGGCTGTGTGCATTAAAAGCTCCTGCTGGGCCAAATGCAATTAATAAGCATTCCTAGCACCTGACAACTTCCCACGAACGCTGCGGTACCTGCAGCCCAAACTCTGTGAACAGGCGGCCCCTCGAAATTCACTAGTGGGCTCGCACCCCTGGCGTGGCCGCCAAATGCAGGACGCGGGAATGCGTCCCCGCAGAACCGAGAGGGGCTGCGCTCGCCGTCCTCGGATGGGGAGGAAGACACGCTTCGCCCCCAAGCGGGCGAGGGCCCGGCCGCCTAGCCCGCGGGCAGAGACGCCCAGCCCAGGACTCGGGGCGCGACCCGCCGCCACACTCCGCGGCCGCTCTTGCCCGGGGTGGGTTTTTGTTTTCGAGCCAGCGTTCTCTCTGGCGTTAGCAAGTCTGCGAGGTGTACGCCACATCCTCCGGCGGCAGAGCGCGGGAGCAGGCAACTTCCCTCCGACGCCCGGCCGCGAGCTCCCGCAGGACCCCGGCCCGCGCCCGCGCCCGGCCCGCCCGGCCGCCGGCGCCCGCGGCGCCGAGGGGAACCCCACGCCCGCGAGAGGCCGCTTCCTCCTCCCGGGAACCAGCCTTTCCCGCCCGGCCGGCGACCTAAACCGCTCTGCCCCGCGGGCGGCTGGTTCCGTGTTGGCGGGCGACCCTCGCCCCGACGCCGCTCCAGGCCGGCAGGTGGAGGTGCAGCCCGCGCCCCGCGCGCCCCTCCGCCCCGCCCCGCCCCCGGGGCCCACCTGCGGCGGGGGCCGAGGCCGTCCGCTCCCGCTCCCCCGCCCCGCGGGCGCTCCTCGGCGCCGCTATGCCGGCCGCGCGCTGGACGGGCGCGGCGCCTCGGCCGGTGGCTCTGTCAGACGCGGCGGCCACCCGCCGGCGCCCGGGCTCGCTTCCCCACAGCGGGCGGGCGCGGAGGCGCGGAGGGGCGGGGACGGCCGTCCGCGCTCCCGCCCCGGAAGATGACTGACGCGCCGCGCCGCCAATCAGCGGCCGCGAGGGGCCGGGGCCGGGCCCAGGGGGCGGGGCCTCCGCGCGCCGTCTGGGGCGCTGGCAGGGGCTGCGCGGGGGCGTCCCGGGCTCTGCGGCGGGGCGGGAGGCGGCTCCCGGGTTGCTCCTCGGGAGACGCGCTGGGAGTTCCACCTGGACGGGTCCCGCGATCCGTGACACTTTGAGTGGGAAGCCAAGAGACCTGGAGGGCCGGCTGTGGGGGAAGAGGGACCGGGCCCTTTCCTCGCCGCGGCGGGGCTGCGGGACGCTCGCCTAGCTCGCGCGGACCCTCACCCTGGGCGGCGGCCTGGGCGGCGGCGAGGCTGCGATCCGCGCGTAGCTGCGGCCGGGGGCCTGCTCCACTGCCCTGGGGGAGCTTTCTGACCTTTCTCCCTCTCGGGGTCAGCAGAACCGAGGTTGTGTTTCCTGGGAACTCACAGTTTAGTTTAGGATCAGGAATATGTGCATCATTGACAAAATTAGTCATCTTACACAATGGTTTATCAAAAGAAAGCTGCATGGGAGTAGCTAACTGTAAAAGTAAACAGCCCAAACTATCAAAGGGTGCTCACGACAAGGTTCTCCACCCCACCCCCATTTCCTAGTCAGATGTGCCCGTTTTAAAAAAAAAAAAAAAAAAAAAGGAAGAAAATGAAAATCCTGGTGAACACTTCCTCTTCCTCCAATACGCACAATTCCAGAGACAAACAGACTTGCAAGTGAAGTATTTTGGCACCTTTTGAAAAAGAAGTCCCATAACTAAAGAAAGATATTTGAAAACAGGCTGGAATTTTCTGTGGCTTCAGCAGCCTTAGGGCAACGTGCACAAGTAGTTGAATCACTTTCCTCTGTTTCCTGAGTCTCAGAACAAAGGACTGAAGGATCACACGTCTTGGGCCAGGCCAGTAAAGAAGTCTGCTTCAGAGCAGCAGCAGTGAACACAAGGCTAGGCATCAACTGACAGCTGGCCATGTGCTTCGTGTGCCTTTCACAGGCGTTATTTCATTTAATTCTCACACTTGCCCCTGAGGTAGGTGCTGTTATCTCCAGTTTACAGATGAGGAAACTGAGGTTCAGTTAAGTGCTAGTACAGAGTTTAAACTTAGGTTTGACCTCTCAGCCGTCCAACCATTCTGCAACCCATGATTCACAGAAAATAATAAAAAATGTTCCCAAACTCTCCTGCATGTTTAGGAAAAAAAAAAAAATCCCTTTTATCCAAATCAGATTTTTAACATCAAGGGACAGTTTCCTACGGCCATAAACCATCACTTGCGTGTATAGAGCCATGTTACTTGTACAAAATAAATGATTTAAAATTGCTGTGCCTAATTAAACCTAAACAAGGTTACGAGCAGTGACAAGTACAAACTGTCTAATCCAGAAACTGAAAATACCAGGACTAATTTCTCATGGTATAATAAAACAAAATTTACTTAAGTCCTTTAACCACAAACAAATTAGACAGTTCTCCTCCCTCCTCCCACAAGATAATATTTATGAATACAGCTGTTTATACTCAGCCTAAAATTCTTTCAATTAATTCACATTTAGGATTTTGTGGTTGTCTGTAATGTCTGTTGTTACTCCAAAAGCTGAGAGGCAAGCCCTAAACCTTGGAGCTGGACTGCCTGGCTTGCCTGCATATTAGCCACATGGTCTTGCATGTTAGTTAACCTTGTGCCTCAGTTTTCTCATCTCTAAAATAGGGTTTATAAGAGTATCTACTTCATGGGGGTTTTATGGGGATTAAATGGGACTAAATATGTGCTAACCCCTTAGAATAATGCTCGGTACATAGGCATCACATAAATACTTGTAAGATAGAAGACAAGAATGCGATATAGAGATTTATGATCAGCTTTCTGGTCTACCCATGTGTGATTTACTACATATGTTAACAATTGCAAAGTTATTGGTTTTTTTAAATACCTGGATTGTGAGCTCACGGAGGACAAGAACTCTAACCTGGATTCCCTAGTACCTAACTCAGAACTTGAATATTTATGAATGCATAAATTGAGAGTATGGTATGCAGTCAGCTAAAGATCACACTCCACAAAGACCTCTGTGGCAACAGTCTAAGCTGAAATGTTGACACAAATCATTGCATTCACCAAAATACCCACCTTAGACCTATTGAAAACAAAGGCAGGGCCTAGCATTGTGCCCAGAAGCCACCTGCTTGTGCCTCTGGAGAGCTCAGAATGAGTGGCTAAGGGCAACAGCTACTCTAGTTAGTTGCAAGGAGGGTTGTAATACAGCCCAAATCAGAAGAAAGGAAACAAATGGTCAGTTGTTCCTAGCAAATATTTAATTAGAGTTCTTGTTTTCATAAAGTTTTTTTGACCGTTTGAACTCTGAAAATGGAATGTGAACATCCAGAGCCATTGGCGACAAATGCAAAGTGTATTTTCCACTTCTATGTCCAACCCTTCATTTTACTCAAGGGTCACTCGTTCATGTCCGTGTCAGCCTCAGACTACGACAAGTTGACAGTGGTTCTGAGAACAGTGAAACCCACTACACCTTTGTCTGGGCAATGATTGCAATCTTAATTTCTACTGAGAGCTTGCTTGGTAGACTGAACTCCGGTTAAACATCCTCCTCTAATAGGAAGTTTGCAAGGGGAGACGCTGGGTCAGTTGCTATAATTCTCATACCAAAATGGTGCCTGGCATGTGGAACACACCTATTTAATATTTATTGAATGAAACCCATGAGTGAATGTGTGAGTGAGGCAACTTGACATCCTAGTAACAATCAGTGAAAATTTCCAGCCTGTACTTACTTCCAACTGTCCTTATCCAAATTTATTGTCTTTTTTGTGTGTGTGGTAAAATATACATAAAAATTACCATTTCAGCCATTTTTAAGTGTGCAGTTCAGTGGTGTTAAGTACCTTCACATTGTTGTATAGCTATCACCAACACCAACCACCCGTTTCCAGAACTTTTTCATCTTCCCAAATGGAAGCTCCATACCCCTTAAATACTAATTCCCCATTCCTCACCTCCCCCAGCCCCTGCTTTCTGTCTCTGTGAACTTGACTTTTTTCTAGGTACCTCCTGTAAGTGGAGTCGCATGATATTTGTCCTTCCACGTTTAGCTCATTTTGCTTAGCATAATGTCTTCAGGGTTCATCCATGTTGTAGCATTGTCATAATTTCCTTCCTTTTTTTAGGATAATATTCCATTTGCATGTATATGCCACATTTTGTTTATTCACTTATCCATCAATGGACACCCAGACTGCTTCCACCTTTTGGGTAGTGTGACTAGTGCTACTATTTACACAGGTGTATAAATACCTGTTTAAGTCTCGGCTTTTCATTCTTTGGGGTATATATCCAGAAGTGGATCCGCCAGGTCATATGGTAACTCTGTTTAACTTGTCGAGGAACCCACTATACTGTTTTCCACAGTAGAAAACATTCCCACAATATATGAAGGCTCCAATTTCTCCACATACTCTGCAATCCTTGTTTCTGGTTTTGTTTGTTTTGATAACAGCCATCCTAGCAAGTGTGACGTGGTATCCCATTGTTGTTTTGACTTTCATTCCCCTAATCATAAGAAGTTCTGAGCATCTTTTTAGGTGCTCATTTTCCGTTTGCAAGTCTTTAAAACATTATGCCATCACTGCCTGACATCCATAAAAATTAGAATTTGGGAAACACTTATCTTTTTACTTTTTTTCTGCAATGTATCTGAGCATATTTTGCTTCTTATTTACACAAAGTCAAAGCAGTCAGGGTCAGCGTTTCTAATAGAGGACAAGCGTGTAGAAGTTGAGCACTTACAAAGTGCCAGCCTCTAAATGTAGTCATTCATCAACCCTACAACCCCCATTTTAGATAAATACTATTATTATTCCCAATATATAAAGAAACTGAGGCGCAAATGGTCTAAAGGATCTTGCTCCAGGTCATCCAGCTAGCGAATGACATTCGAAAATTTGACCCAGCTTCCAGGGCCATACGGAAAGCATCCCCTAAAAGATATTGCCTCCCAGGAACTCCCCTGACTCTCCAAAAGCCATGCGTGATCTTTTTCCTGGATGAGCAGCGGCTGGGACAAGCATGGCCGGGCCTGCCATATGCAGTCAGGGCGTGGGTGAGATGCCCCTGTCCAGGGTCACAGCATGAAGGGGAACAAATGCTGCAAGTGGTGTGAGGCCAAGTGCAAGCTGGCACTTCACAAGCAAAGCTGAGAGATCCAGCAGGACAAGGCAGGAGGGGGAAGGTGTGAAGACTGAACTGAGAAAGCAGGAGAGTCCTCAGGAGGGGCTGACATGGCAGTCACAGAATCCCAAAGCTGTGCAGCCGGCACTGGCAGAAGTTTCCAGAACTCCCTACACTGGGGCCTTAACCTATCTCATCAGGGGTCTCAGACTGCAATTCAAAATGTGTTTTTAACTGAAAAATAATATTCATTATTAAAAAAATAATTATAAAATGGGATTTGAATTTGATTAATAATTACAAAGCATGTTTTGAATGTGTAACATAATCCGTCGGCTAAATTATAGCTCTGTGCTATTAGTCAATCACATCTCAGTGCCAACACGCCTTGGCACTTTCTAAGAGCAGATGTTGACGGGGGAGTGCCAGGAGGGCTTTAGAGCTGGCTGGAGGGATAAAACAGGTCAGCTTGGAGCCATAAAGGGAACTGAAAGATGTGGGGGTGGTGTGTGTGAAGAACTTCATGATTTTGTGTAGGTCCAGACCAGAACTCAGCATTTCCTTAAATTAAATTTTTTTTTTTTTTTTTTTTTTTACCAAATTAGATGGCTTTGCTCTTTCCCAAATTCCTGACACCTGCCCTGCCTGCAGTTTGCACAGAGCTGTGCTCGCTCACCATCTCTGGCCTTTGACCTGGGTTTTTTTTTTTTTTTTTTTTCTGGCATATGATGGGGGTACAGATTTTAAGGTTTCAATAAATGCCCTTTCCCTCCTCCCCCCACAAGTCTGAGTCTCCAGCATGACCATCCCCCAGATGGTGCACATCTCACTCATTATGTATGTATATACCCGCCCCCTCCCCCCTCCCACCTGCCCAATACCTTATTACTGTAGTACCTATGTGTCCACTTATGACCTGGGTTTTTGCACTACCTGGACTGTGCACTTACCTGGCTGACTCTCGCTGGTCCTTCCAGACTCTACTCCAGGGGTCCTCAAACTTTTTAAACAGGGGGCCAGTTCACTGTCCCTCAGACCGCTGGAGGGCCGGACTATAGTTTTTAAAAAAAACTATGAACAAATTCCTATGCACACTGCACATATCTTATTTTGAAGTAAAAAAACAAACGGGCAAAAACCCCACATGTGGCCCAGGGGCCGTAGTTTGAGGACGCCTGCTCTACTCCACCCTCCCAGGTGAGCCCACTATTCTAAATCCATGTCTCTCTCCACACTTGACTGTGAGCTCATGGAGGGCAAGGAGAATGACCCCAGTCTCCCCTGGGTCTCCCGCACAATGTCTGACGGTCACATAATGGCACCAGCTGACTGTGGGCATGATGCCTCC